CTAGTGGCCCAGTGCACAAAATTCATGCATATTAAAAGGGAATTAATTAGAGGAAATATTTTAATATTGCTATTTGCCCTTTCTCTATAATAGAAGTGTCAGAGATTAAAGAAAATTAGTAAAAATATATAAAAATATCCCTCCTGTCAGAGTCTGGGGCGTGCCATGGGACACAGAGTCAAGTCGCCGCCCACCCGCATGCGCCTCGAAATCGCATGAGACCCAGACCCGGCTCCCCCACCCCTGTCAAGCCCCGCAGGTGGGGGGCACAGCCTCAGGTTCCCTGTCAAGCCCCGCCAGGCGGGAGGTGCAGTCTCAGGTCCCCTGACCCCGGCATGAGGATGCGAGGCCATGACGACCATTTGCATATTAGCTCTTTATTATATAGGATAATGAACTCACAGAAAGAGAAACTAAAACAACAATACCATTTACCATTGCCCCCCAAAATTAAGATACCTAGGAATAAACTTAACTAAGAAGGTAAAAGACCTGTACCTGGAAAACTACAGGACACTGAAAAAAAAGAGAGAGAGGAAGACATAAACAAATGGAAGAACGTACCATGTTCATGGGTTGGTAGAATCAACATCATTAAAATGTCCATATTACCCAAAGCAATCTACAGATTCAATGCACTCCCCATTAAAATACCAACGGCATATTTCACAGACCTAGAACAATGCTCCAAAAATTCATATGGAATAATAAAATAACCCCAAATAGTCACAGTAATCCTGTAAAAGAAGAACAAAGTTGGAGGGATCACAATACCAGATATCAAACTATATTAAAAGCCACTGTTCTCAAAAATGCCTGCTACTGGCACAAGAACAGACATATAGACCAATGGAACAGAACAGAGAACCCAGAAATCAATCCAAGCCATTATGCTCAATTACTATTTGACAAAGGAGGCAAGAGCATACAATGGAGTCAAGACAGTTTCTTCAATAAATGGTGTTGGGAAAATTAGTCAGATTACAAGCAGAAAAATGCAACTAGAACACCAACTTACACCATACACAAAAATAAACTCAAAATGGATAAAGGACTGAAACATAAGACAGGAAGCCATAAAAAATTTAGAAGAATCCATAGGCAGCAAAATATCAGACATGTCGTAGCAGTATTGTTACCAATATAGCTCCTAGGGCAAGGGTGGACAAACTTTTTGACTTGAGGGCCACAATGGGTTCTTAAACTGGACCGGAGGGCCAGAACAAAAGCATGGATGGAGTGTTTGTGTGAACTAATATAAATTCAAAGTAAACATCATTACATAAAAGGGTACGGTCTTTTTTTTTTTTTTAGTTTTATTCATTTCAAACGGGCCGGAGCGGGCCGTAGTTTGCCCACGGCTGTCCTAGGGCAATGGAAACAAAGGAGAAAATAAACAAATGGGACTACATCACAATAAAAAGCTTCTTCACAGCAAAAGTAACCATCAACAAAACAACAGGGAGTCCCACTGCATGGGAGAACATATTTGCCAATGCTGTTTCAGACAAGGATTTAATCTCCAAAATCTACAGGAAACTCATACAACTTAACAAAAGGCAGATAAACAATCCAATCAAAAAGTGGGCAATGGACCTAAATAGACACTTCTTAAAAGAAGACATACAGAAGGCCAAGAGACATATGAAAACATGCTGAAAGTCACTAATTATCCGAGAGATGCAAATCAAAACAACAGTGAGGTACCATCTCACACCTGTCAGAATGGCTATCATCAACAAATCAACAAATGACAAGTGCTGGAGAGGATTCGGAGAAAAAGGAACCCTCATGCACTGCTGGCAGGAATGCAGACTGGTGCAACCACTGTGGAAAACAGTACGGAGTTTCCTCAAAAAGTGAAAAATGGAACTCCCATTTGATCCAGTGATCCCACTTCTAGGAATATATCCCAAGAAACCAGAAACATCAATCAGAAAGGACATATGCACCCCTATGTTCATAACAGCATAGTTTACAATAGCTAAGATTTGGAAACAACCTAAGTATCCAACAGCAGATGAGTGGAATAAAAAACTGTGGTACATCTACACAATGGGACACTACGCTGCTATAAAAAAGAAGGAACTTTTACCATTTGCAACAACATGAATGGAACTGGAGAGCACTATGCTAAGTGAAATAAGCCAGTTGGAGAAAGATAAGTATCATATGATCTCACTCATTTGTGGAATATAATGAACAGCATAAACCAGTGGACGGCAAACTCATTAGTCAACAGAGCCAAATATCAACAGTACAATGATTGAAATTTCTTTTGAGAGCCAAATTTTTTAAACTTAAACTATATAGGTAGGTACATTGTTATTAACTTAATTAGGGTACTCCTAAGGCTTAGGAAGAGCCACATTCAAGGGGCCAAAGAGCTGCATGTGGCTCACGAGCTGCAGTTTGCCGACCACAGGCATAAACTGATGAACAAAATTAGATCCAGAGACAGGGAAACACCGAACAGACTGTCAAACCTCAGAGGGAAGGCAGAGGAGGGGGGGCAGGTGTAGGAGATCAACCAGAGACTTGTGTACATGCACATTAGCATAACCAAAGGACACAGACACTGGGGCAGTGGGGGCTTGTCCTGGGGGTTGGAAGTGACCGGAGAGGGGTTGATGGGGGTAAAAGGAGACATATGTAATACTTTAAACAAAAAACAAAAAAGATACCCCATGGCCTAGCACAGTTGTTTCCCTAAATAGTGAGATGACAGGATTGTGACCAGCACTTTAAAAACAAATTTACTAGAACAAAATAGGAAACAGCAGAGTGCATGCAATAAGGGTAAGCACTGTTTCAAAAATCTTTTTTTTAGCTTCTCTCTCTCTCTCTCTCTCAACTGGGCCTCCTATAGTTTTTGTGTGTTACCTTCCCCATGTAACCTTTAACAAAGAGCACATTTAGCTCTTCCTCAGGGTACAATAGCATCTATACTAATAAAAGGGTAATATGCTAATTAGACCAGGAGACTGGACATCTTCCAAACATCTTCTGACTTCTTTCCAGACAAAGCCACAGTGGTGGGGGCCGAGGCAGAGGCAGTTAGAGGTCATGAGGCCAGCCGGCATGGGAGGGCAGTTGGGGGCCATGAGGCTGGCAGGGGAGTGGTTAGGCGGCGATCAAGCCAGTAGGCAGGCAAGCAGTTAGGAGCCAGCGGTCCTGGATTGTGAGGGGGATGTCCGACCGCCGGGTTACGCCCCATCCTCAGAGGAATGGGGCCTAAACCCGCAGTCGGACATCCCCTGAGGGGTCCTGGATTGCAGAGGATGCATGCCAGGCTGAGGGACACCCCCCCCCCACACACACACCCCGTGCACGAATTTTCTGCACCAGGCCTCTAGTTTTGTATAAAACTTTACACCATTTATTACAACACAGTGCCTGTTCATATATATATCTCTACCATTAGAATGTAAACTCCAAGGAAACTTTCTTGTATGACCTCTGTATTTCTAATACCTAAAGAATACTGAAGGCTCAGTAACATTTTGTTGAATGAATGAGTCATCAAAATCTAATAGGTATAAGAACATACAAAAATAGTTAACCATTTTCACTTATCATTATCGGATCAGGTTTTATTATTATATAGAAATTTAGCTATAAGTCATAATAAAATAAAAAAAAGTTGTTCTTTTTCCAAAAGTGCCTAATATACTCCCTTCCATCTGGACGTGACAAATAAATGTTTACTTAAGAAACTGAAATGGGTGGTGTGCATAATAATCTTTGAAACGTAGAACATCAAAGCATACAAATATGCTGCATAGTTGAAGTTTTATTTAAGGAGATCAGCCACATTCATGCTTCTTGTTAGGGGCAAAGAAAGGTAAGGAAAGTTACTGGGCAGAAAAGGTTGCTTTTCTACATGACAAACTATCTAAGGCTCCCCTTTCACAAGTACTGCAAGTACCATGAGAACACATCTAAATAACAACACCAAGCAGGTACTTGCTTGAGTACTCAATATAGAGAAATATGAAGAACTTCAATATTTTTCATATTCATATATTATCACCATCATTCTCAATTCTATTTAAATGTAAGAATTAAAGTTACACAAATTAACCAACTCAACTTTTATATATCAGAAAGCAAAACAATGAAAATAAATTCTAAAGAAAAGCTTTTACCATGTTTAGAGACCTCAAAAGTCAAAAGTTGGCAGTCTACTAAATCAAGATTACATATAAAACTAGTAAAAATAAATAAATAAATGTTTGCTCTAATATGGGTTCCTGCCCATCCACTGTGGCTCAGTGATTTAGCACCAACCTATGAACCAGGAGGCCAGGGTTCAATTCCTGGTCAGGGTACATGCCCAGATTGCAGCTCAGTCCACAGTTTGGGGCATGCAAGGAGGCAGCTGATCAATGATTCTCTCTCATCATTGATGCTTCTATCTTTCTCTCCCTCTCCCTTCCTCTCTAAAGTCAATAAAAATATATTTTAAAAGTAAATAAATAAAGTGGGTTCCTTTACATTGATCTTAAGAAATATTTGTTTCTAAATCATTAACAACTTAACTGAAAAACTGACAATTTCCAACTTATTAGGATTACAACTTTCTTGATATAGCAAGGTAAATACATGAAACAGTAAGAAAAAAATGGTATTGCTATCTTAGGGTTCAGACATTTTGCTCCTGTCCCCAATAAATGTAAATGATAATTTTACCTACTATAAACTTATTAAACATCTAAGGAAACAGCTATTTCACAAAAACTTCCTTTTGTCATTTTAAAATTATTTTAAGTTATTAGAAACCATATTTCAAGGTAATTATTGGGCTTGGACACTAAAGCCAAATCTTAATAGTTAACATTGATTTATTAAAAGAAGAAAAAAAGATGAGCTATGATATATACTCTTTAGAAACAAAACCAATCAATGAAAGTGGCAACAAGCTGTTGTTACTCATTAAAAATCCTTCCCTAATCTGAAATGGTAATTTTAATGACCCTAGTAAGGGTGGCAACACTCACCAGTATGAATCTTCTCATGTCTCTGTAGCAGGTACTTCTGTATGAAACGCATGTCACATTGACTACATTGAAATGGTTTTTCGCCTTAAAATAATTTCACATCCACAAATTAGTTACTGGATAAAACACAGTTTATAGTTACTATTTATGAGGAAAGATAAATCTTAGAAGCTCAAATTCTGGAAAATTCCAAATTATCCATACAAATGGTTTAAATTGTTCATTAATGTAACAGAATATTACAGGTTATCTAGTGTCTTAAATATCTTTTCTTCCTTTTTATCTGCAGAAGACCCACCCACATTGTTCTCTGTGGCTAACCATCACTTTATGCCTTACTTATTTTCTCTAGAACCTTCAGCACTTTCTAAACATCCTTCAAATGTTTCCTCTCTGCTGGAGCTTGTCCTTTTAAGGAAAGTATTCTTGGTCTGCTTGGTGCAAAGAAACTTTCCAGAAATCCTGAAACCTTCCTTCTTTACTTTCTCCCCTTCATTTACCACACCTTCTTAAAAGAGATGTTTATCCTGTATCTCAAACTCTTCACTACCCACTTGTGCTTTAACCCTACATTCTACTTTCTTAAAAGCTACTCTTTATCTCCTTGCTATTAATTCTAATGTGTTTATTTCTCAGGCCTCTACCCTCTCTGATGGTTGTACCATTGTTGATCATATTCTGTTTAGTATTCTATTTTTGTCTTCTGGGACAACAGTATTTTCCTAGGTCATCAAAATGACCTTATTACTTTCTTCCCCACCACCCCCTTAATTCAATTTACATGTCTAATCTGTTCCCACAAAGATCTAGTCTTTTAGTTCTGCCCTCTACAACTTCATGCTAATTACCATTTTTAATCTTCGATTCCCAAATTCATATTTCAAACTCTTTTTGGATGTCTTGCCTAGAAAAATAAATGCTGACAGGCTTTCAATAATACATTCTTTAACTGTTTCTCTAGCTAAAATGAACACATTAAGCCATATTAAGTGTCCAATTAAGATTAATTAATATTGCACATCCATGCTAATTGTTTTCTCATTTAAAGTTTTCTCTGGTTTCCTTCCGACATTCTGGCCTTATGAAATCTCTAATTTGAAATGCCAGGTTAGCTATGGTCTTAGGAATGAATGACATTTACACGAAGATGAAAATAGCAAAGGTAATTTTAATGGCCATAAGCCCATTTTAATTCAAGAAATACCTGTATGAATGAAGACATGTCTCTGTAAGTGATAGTTCGTTCTAAAGGCAGCATTGCAGTGCTCACAAACATGAGATTTAGGGGTTTTCAAACCAAGTGATCCATCCTCATTTATTGTAAGAATCTAGTCCAAAAAAAAAGGGCAAAAACAAAAGAAAGAAGTTTTAAAAACGTAACACTAATTTATAAAAAAGATAATGCCTTTTAATGCAAACAATGGTCACCAATGATTATGAAATATTTTTTCCTAATAATTTTGAAAAGGCTGTTAGAATAATGTTATCATTAACTGTAAAGAACAGTGTGACTCAGAATGGGTAAAGATCACTAGTAAAACCTTAGAAGCTAGTTCTCCAACGGTGATGTCTAAGAGTGCTTAAGTGTTCTGTTAGCGTGAGTATAGTTTTATTTTCAATTTCAAATTCTCACAAATTCTCACGCAGAACAAAAGTCTTATGTTTTAGAAATAGTATATATATCAATCAGTATAGAACTGGTTAAGTAAGTCACAAAAATGTATACAATTTAATATTACACGGCCATAAAGTAAAATGAGAAAGCTATTACTTATATGGAAAGAGGTCCAGGATTTAATAAGTAAAAAAAAGCAAGGTTTAGCCCTAGTGAGTTTGGCTCAGTGGATAGAGCATCAGTTGACTAAAGGATCCTGGGTTTGATTCCAGTCAAGGGCACGTACCTTGGTTACAGGCTCCATCCTGGGGCACATGCGGGAGGCAAACCAATCAATGTGTCTCTCTTACAGCAATGTTTCTCTCTCTGTGTTTCTCCCCCTCCCTTCCATTCTTTCTAAAAATCAATGGGAAAAACATCCTCAGGTGAGGACTGATTAACTAATTAACTAAACAAATAAAAAGCAAGGTTTAGAATCCAGTATATAATTCTTCTATTTTTGTATATGAAAGTAGCATAGGTACATGTATATTTTGTTTGTATATACATAAAAACTACTTGAGAAGGATGTACATAAAATGTATATAACCTCAGTTGTGATGCTGGGGAACAAGGCAGGTAGGAGATAAGGTGGGAGAGCGACTTTACACTGAATATATTTAATACACTTTTCTAAACCAACATAAATGCTTACCTATTACATTTTCCTCTTTTTTTTAAGATGAGAAAACAAAGTTTTCAAGTCATCCAAGGATAGAATTAAGAGTCTGGTTCAATCCAGCATCTTTAAGGTTATTCTAGGACTACTAAACTATTATTAAGCATATTCCTAAAAATATTTGTTAGATAAATAAATTTGAATGGGTATGGGAAAGGAAGATAGCTGACAAAGAAATCAACCTTATCTCCCTGGGCTTCTTAAGGTTGAGAACATTATGGTCTGGACAGTGCCAGAGAGAAGCCACATTTAGGTTTCATGTATTCCAATTTATCAACCATTTGTTCAACGAGCAACATTAAACTGCCTCCCTCATCAGACAAGTGGCAGAGTGAAAATAATCAATGATCCCTTTTTTTGTTACTGAGGAGAGAAGAGAGATGGCAGAACATGATTTGAAGATAAGCAAATAAAGCTAGGAGATAAGATCAAGAGGAGCCTGGCAAGTGAGAGGCAAGCAATACTGGAAGTGGGGGCATAAAGAGTGGGAGCAAGGAGCTGAGTACACACAGGGTGGAGAAATCTAGGAAACGTCTTAAGAATACAAAGGCCTTTGGAAACTGGTTGGGGCCTGTAAATGCACAGCTATGATCACTTCTCAACCCTAGAAAAAGGGAGTAGATAAGGAAAAGAGACTTTAAATTTTTTAAAATATTTTTTTACTTTAAATTTAGGAAGACAATTCACCCACACTGTATGTAAATCAATGGTAATTATAACGCCAATTATACAGGGCACTTGGGTTCTGGGCAAACTGCCAATGTGGTCAACAATGCTTCCAAGTTTATGCACAAAAGTCAGAGGGAAACATTTGGCAGCAGAACGGAAGTGGGTGTCACAGCTTCCTGAAGAGTCAGTGAGAACGAAGTTTCATCGCTAGTCAGTTAAAAGTTTTTTCAAGCCTTCTAAGTCACAAAATAAAATGCAAGTTAACATTGTGCAAAACAACAAAAACACAAAAAGTTTTAAAATATGACTCAAAATATTTCTAACTTAAAAGAATTAAGCATTTTTTATATAAAATAGAACTAAAAACAATATATTATGATATTTTCTCACATATGTTAAGAAGACCCATGTTCCAAAAAAAAAAAAAAAAGGCTTTGTCAGGAACAAATCTGGCCCAAGTTTCTTAATGTGAAACGGATGTAATCCTAATCAGTACAAAGCCCTTTTATGAAGAGTTAAGGAGTTCTACATCATTGTTGTCTGTCAGTAGAAGTAATGCTGCCTTTCACTGTGGATTCAAGCTTTAATTCAAGGTGGATTTTATGGATGAAACAGCTAACACTGGCTTGTGAATAGCAAACTAAAAAGTCTAGCATATTTATAAAGTTCAAAGACAGAAAAATCAAATTCTTAGGCATTTTATATTTAATTACCTTTTTTTCCTTTTCTTTTTAGACTACAGTAACAAATATCTTTGCATAAAGGACAAAAAGTAAAATTCACCTTGCCTCAGATTACCACCAGTGCCTCTTCAAATTTGTAATCTGTTTTAAATGTAATTACCTAGTTTTGTCTGTTTTACTCACCACTATAAACTCAATGTCCAAAACGGTGTCTGGAACATAGTGAGACCCTATACATGTCTATTGATGTGGCTACCTGCTATCCATACCAAACATCCTCACAAGCTTACCAGTTTATTCTTAAAATTTTGTGCAAGAAGTAGTACTTTTCAATTTTCCTGAGTCACTAAGTAGTGCCACAGAGAGGTGAGTATGCAAAGAACAAAGTCCCTCAGTGGAACAGAAGTGGCAAATCGATACAGGCAAAATTTTCTTCTTTGATATAGATTTAGCTTCTTTTTTCTTGTTCACACCCCCTTTTTCCAGATCTTTTAGTAGAATGTGATTGCTTTTCTTTTTCCCTTCAACAAAAGAACATTATAACTGAAGAATTTGAAATTTAAATTCTAAGGTGTCTGTTATATCTCCACATGATTTATCTTGCCTCCTGTCACTGATACTTTTGAAGAAAATGGTATATAATAAAGAACAAGTAATCAGGCTTTATCAAGAGGGGAGAAATTAGTAATAGTATAAATAATACTCAACATGCTGGTATTTTGCTTAATTGTTTAATAAATTTAAAATAGAATTTTTCACTGTCAAATGGAACTCAACTAATCTGCTCTCTTTATCTCATGGTCCATTAGAAGGTATGTTTTTGTTCTGAGCCAAATGTATTCCCAGCTAGTTACCTATACATATATAGTGACTAATCTTAAGTAATATGCCAACTTTATTTAGTCAGGCAAAGCACTAAACTCTGCCTATTCAATTCAGAGATTTTTCTGTCAAGTGTCAGTGCCATTGAATAACTGAAACCTGACACCCCTTAGTGAGAAGTTTTGCTCTCTTAAAAGGTGGAGGAGATTTTCCCATTCTATGCTAAATATATTCCAACTATGAACTACTAAAATCATTAAAGCATATTTTAAAATAACAATTATATATTTTATCATACATTCTTAAATCAATCTAAATCTCTAAACCATCAAAAGACAATTTAGAGAAAACAGTTTAAATTTCTCACCCACTATCAGTTATTTTACTGAAATGGGGTGGGAAGAGAGATCTTCTAAAACTAAAATCCCATCCTCACATTGTCACTTTCTTTCATTCTTCAGGATTTTTATTCTCTCTCAGTAGATTTTACATATTACCAAATTTCATTTTTAAATAGCAAGCTTTTGACAGTGCCAGATCATAAAATACATGGTATCATAAGCATGGTACAATAACAGATGTTCAACATAACGACCCTGAATTTTAGAAAAGGCTCTGTCTCATGTTTTTTAGTCAGAAATGTATGTGACATTTTTAAAGAAAGATTTGAATCAAATATTTTTATTTTTTTATTTTTTTTTAATATATTTTATTGATTTTTTACAGAGAGGAAGGGAGAGAGATAGAGAGTTAGAAACATCGATGAGAGAGAAACATCAATCAGCTGCCTCCTACACATCTCCTACTGGGGATATGCCTGCAACCCAGGTACATGCCCTTGACCGGAATCGAACCTGGGACCTTTCAGTCCGCAGGCCGACGCTCTATCCACTGAGCCAAACCGGTTTCGGCTGAATCAAATATTTTTAAATTGAAGTTCAGTTCTGTGAAAAAAAATTTTTTACTCAGTATATATAACTCCATGGGAAAATTATATAAATAAAATACTAATACCTTCTTTTACTAATTTTCTTCATTTTTCTCTTAAGTATTATTTTCTATTTCCACCCCCAGTCTTACAATCCGTACTCATCTTCAAAGCCACTTCTTCCACAATCACGTTAGCATATAAGGACAATATATAAAAAATGCCTAGTATATCTACTTCTCTGCTGCTTTTAATTAAATTTTCCTCATTTTGTATCATTCAATTTTAAATCTTTTTTTTTATATTAAATCACAAATCTTTCCTGGGAACCAATGATGTATAATAAACTGCCAGGAAAGGATTCTCTATATAATTTATAATCAGTCTGATTTGTGGACTATGCTCTGCCTTCCTGAGTTCAGCCTAACTTTGAATAATCAATTTCTATTCAGACTACCTACAGTGTTATAACAAACAATCCCAGTTCCTTTATTTGGAAAGAGATCCTGGCATATCATAGACATTAAAATTATTTGTTGAGAGTAAAAAAGAAGATACATTTCAAAATAAGGGGAAGTAATTAAAAAGTGCCCTGCTCTATTTCTTTAAATTACTAGGGATTTTGAAAGCCCTATAAAATGTATACAATACTGGATTAAGAAAATATTGTCATATTTTACTGAAAAGTATTCTTAGAGTTCATCGTTAACTCAATAATCCTCATAAAATCTTCTGGGGTGGAAATCGTGATCTCCTAAGCACCTAACAAGTCAACAGCAAAGTCAGATGATAATACCTCATTTTCTCCAAAAACTTCTACTATCAAGACTTGAGATTCTCAAGCTTTAACATAAATCACAATCACCTTGGACTCAAAAGTATAAATGGAAATC